TAAATGTACTGTTTATTTTTAGTTTTCCAAATATATAGACTTGACGTACTGCCTTCCTGTTCTACTTATCTATTTATGGGTCTTTTTTATGAATTTGCGCTAAACAAATAGGGTTTGAGTTATGAAAACTTGGTTCATAAATACATTCATCACTGGCAGGAAATATTCTACCAAGTCTTAAGGTCAACATGCATTAATGTTGGAGTCTTGAGTTTTTAAGAGCAGCTGTCACTGTCTCTCCTGTTTGAACCCCTCTCAGCCGCACATCAAAGCGCTGCAGCTCAGAGAGATAGCAGTCAGCGGAGGCCTCGTTTGCTGCGTGCTATAATGAAATTAGGCTAACTTTAATTTGCAGCAAAATCATTAAAGCAAACTTCCTCATGCTTTTTATGTGCCCCAAGGAGACTCTAACTTTGAAAGAAGAAAAGTAATAATATGGTCTAAGTGTTTTGAAGTTCATGGATGAAATTAATGAAAGAGAAAAATATGCTTCAGCTGATATTTCATACTAGCCTTTTTATCCTCTAAGGAAGAGTGCACGTTTGAACCACAGAGCGTACAGTATCAACTCCAGATTTCAAATGATAACATACATGTTTACTTTACTTACTCTATATATCCATTATTTCCAACCAAATATAAAAACTAAAGGCAATATGCATCACTTTACAGTTGAAACAGCTATGTTATATTAAGCCAATATGTTGGTTTTACCCAAGCTGAAACACACTGGTGAAAAGCAATTTAGTGCATTTACTTAAAACTAAGCACAGATTTTGGTTCTTGTACTTAACTTGATAATTTCCATTTACTGCTGTTGTTAACTTTTACTTCGAGGCAAATATTTAGCTTTTACTTCACTAGGTTTATGCTTACTTAAAATACTAGTTACTTTCCAATATCAGGATACTGCTGCAATATAAAATCAACAAAAAATACATTATGATATTATACCAATAACACTTTATTGGTCCCAGGGCGGGTATATTCACCAAGTAACATATATATATATATATATAAAATATATTTAAATACCTTCAGATTGTTCCCAACCTTAATGAGGTGCAACATTAAAGTGAGATTGATCAATACACAGGATGCATCAATAACCATAACCCTATAATATATATTATTCTGAATAAATTGTACTTTAACTTTTAGTAATTTAACCAGAGTTTGCTAGTTAGACATTTGTACTGTACATTTAATAATGTAAAATGACATCCATGATTCGATTTGTTCTTTCTCTTTTTCTTATGATTTGATTTGTATTTCTGCAGTATATAGTTGTTGCTTTGACTTTTTTTGCACTCCTGCTGCTTTTTAAAATTTTATTTGGTTATTTTACCTTACTTTTACATATATACTACTTTAAGAACACACACGCTGTACAAACAGACCCCCTACCGACTCTATGACCTTGTTAGCACCCCTATTAACACCCCCCCTCCCTTTGCACATTGTCTGAGAGAACTGAGAACACACTCATCCTCTAACTACTCTTCAACGAGGAAGCAAAGAGCTGGTTGCCATGGTAACTACTGTGTCAGCTAACCTACTTTTGCATGAACGAAGGACATTGGTCGATTGGAGAGAGGTGTATGGTATAGGTACATAGAGGACACACACACACACACACACACACACACACACACACACACACACACACACACACACACACACACACAAGCTCTACATATTCATTATATTTGATCGTCTCAGGCCAATATGAATAAATCTTTCACCCTTATTCTCAGTCAATAGGAGAAGGTGGCTGTTTGCATAGCAATGATGAGAGGGTGAGAGTTATTATGGATATCATTGATAAAGACAAGGATAAAAGGGGAGCATATGAAACGTTGGTGAACCTTGGAAATAAAAAAGGTTGATGGAGAAGAAAAACAATAAAAAATAAAAAATGAATGCAGTGTCAGGTCAACTCAAGTTTATTTTCTTAGCTCATCATCACAATAATTTCCCATGGGACAACATTCAATTACAAATTAATTACGCTGTTTATTGCAAATATCACAGTACAGTGTGCAGCTAAAATGCAGTGCGTTGAGCACTGAAAGCCCATTGAAAACACATAAGAGGCCGAACTAACTTACCTTGGCAAGCCTCAAGCAAACTTGGCACCCTTGACTGACCCTCTACCCTCAGGATGGAGAGAAAAACAAAGCAATAATACAGTTTTAAGGGGGGAAAGGGCCCTCACAAGGTCTGCTTAGCATGTCATAATATGCCAGTCAGTGCTCAAAACGACATAACCTGGACATGGACACACCATTTAATAAAACAACACATATTCCCACGGAGTATATAACGTGTACAGTTTATGCATACACTGAATACTGTTGTGCAGTAGGCCTTTATTGCATGTGTTTTGCATGTAGGTGTCAATCGTATTGACATCAAACAGAGCTGTTTAACCCATGCATCTGCAAAGTGCTAGTTTCCCTCCCTAATTGACACGTCTCCTGTTTAAACAGCGTCCACCTCGTGTTTGTTATTGACGGCAATGCGTCCTGCAGGGAGCCCCGACCATGCTGCTTAAATGGATTGAGGGGATTTTCAACCAACAATCTTTTTTTTGTTCCTCTCTCCCTGTAGTTCTCCTCTAATTCTGAATCATTGGCTGTGGAGAATTGTATTAGGCAGACGAAACACGCTGGGCCTGAGACATGAGTGGGTATAATAAACAGAGAGAGAGAGACACCATGCATTTGGACTCCATGCCAGCATTTGTGGGCCGCTGCGTTATAGCGAGGCATTCAGAATCAAAGCTTGACAACAACAACATACACTAACGTTTTTTAGTGGCTGCGTTACTGTAGCATTGCAATGTTTCGCAGCCATGGGGGAACCGATAGGAAATGGCAAGTCTATGAAGATTAAATGTAAGGGGAATAGAGCAGAAAGTCTTCAAGTCATTACTGCTGCAAGAGAATCAACCTTCATTTTTTCTCCAGTTTATGAGTAGAAGCTCTTTCTACGTCTTGTTGTCTTTTGATTTTAGGGCTTAATGACTGTCATTTTGCATTTAGTTACTAGAAAATGTTGAATTAATGTCGCTTTGATTTATACCACGTATGTACAAAGACTGCTGGACTAAATTAGTTTGTCTCAGTCATTATGTTTATTTACTGGGCCAGATTTCATTGTGTTGCATGCATTTCAACTGTTATTGACAATGTTTAAAGCCAGCTTGCTTCTCCAGCACACATAATGTTATTATATTTATTTAACCTTGATTCAGCTTTGTCAATCGAGCACCCGATGTTCCTTTTAGAGAAGCTTCTATTGTGTATTGTGTTATTATGTAAATGTAATATTATGTGTTTTAGTTTACAATTTTTTTCAGATCTGACAAGAAATCATTGTATTTTCTATTATATTTATATTACATTATCGCATATAATAGCAAAACTGCAATATGCTGGAAGGGGTATTTAGGTACTTCCTTGTGAACAAATTTAGCAGACATTCTCAGTGTCTGATTAATCAGTGTAAATATGGATGCACACACACAAACACACTCCCGCCTTCTCATTGTATGCCTAAGCAGTCCTCCTTCTGCTTTTCGTCGTGGGTGGTAGGTAGTGGGCCCACCCCTCATCCAGGAAGGCGTCATTGTGTCACACACACACACACACACACACACACACACACACACACACACACACACACACACACACACACACACACACACACACACACACACACACACACACACCACACACACACGCACACACACACATTTGACTCAATCACTCCATACCCCTCCAGGGCAGAATGATAGAGCAGAGCAGGTCTGAACAGGTGGACAGACAGAGCTGTCACGGCTGAGAAACACACACACACACACACACACACACACACACACACACACACACACACACACACACACACACACACACACACACAAATCTTAGAATATATAAGATTAGTCCTCTTCAAATACATTAGCTACAGTATGGCTGCTATTGTTTCTGTGAATTACAACCCAATTCACGCAGTTTTAGGCAACCCCTACCGACAGTTGTTGTCCATATTACCCCCCCCCCCCCTTCACATTACACTGTACTTTATCCTATACTTTATATTGGCATATTTTGTTCAATATAGCTTCACTTTACAATAATATTAACATCAATCCCTTCAGTTTCGAGAAAGGTTATTGGCTTTTGTTTCGTTAATGTTGTGTCCATTCACAACCATTCCAGGAATACCAGTGTTGAGTCTGATTGGCTTTATAGTTTATATTACGGGAAATTACAGAACATTTCACGTTCAAATTATAATTTTTTGAGATTTAAATAGTTTGAACAAGGTAAAAAACTAAAAGATCAGCAGATGTTAACCACTAGATGTCGTCAGAAACCAAATGTTCTTGATTTCCAACTGAATGTAGTTCCTGAGGTATGGAAGAGATCTCTTCGCCTGTCAAATGGCTATGACAGGGTGAGCACTGCTACAGTTTAAGTTTAAAATATATTAAAAGTAAGCAAAACACAACTAAGCAAAACAATCTTCTCGGTTTGAAATCTGTTCTGAAAGTTCCCTCATGCTCAAACTTGGGCAATATCTCTCATAGAAGTATTGCCAGTGACAATACTTTGCGCCTATAGGTTGGCTGACAGTTTTGTAAATTGACGCCTGACTGTATTGAGTTTGACTATGAGGCTATATATAAGCTTGGCTTTGTGAGCAGGTGACAGACAACCTTTCAACATTCTCTCCGGTTTAAGTGTGTGTGTGTTTATGTTTTAACCAGTCAGTGTGAAGGCGTGAGAAGAGAAAAACTGACCTGCTGTACACCTCTCTCTCTCTCTCTCTCTCTCTCTCTCTCTCTCTCTCTCTCTCTATCTCTCTCTCTCTCTCTCTCTCTCTCTCTCTCTCGCTCTCTCTCTCTCTCTCTCTCTCTCTATCTCTCTCTCTCTCTCTCTCTCTCTCTCTCTCTCTCTCTCTCTCTCTCTCTCTTTCTCAGTCTGTATCAATCTGTTTCTAGTGCGTGAGCGCGCGCCACAGTTCTGATCGGCGCGCAGATGATGATGATGAGAGCGTGACCTCACCGCTTTCTGCACAGCTGCTGGAGAGAGGGGGAGACACAGAGGGAGGAAGAGAGAAACACAAACACGTTGAGGGAGACGGAGCGAGGTACGGACCAGAGGAGAACATTCACACCACAGCGGTAAACTGTTCGGCGCGAGGACTCTGTCGCGGGGCGTCCGTCCCCTCCCAGCATGTTCCCAGCCCCCGGTTCTTCTCTCCGGTACACGAGCCAGTCGTCGCGGCGTCTCCACGGACTCTAAAGCCCAGATGCTCACCCTCTCCGCAGACATGGACGAGTCTTCGTCTCTGCTGGATCTGCTGGAGTGTTCGGTGTGCCTGGAGCGCCTGGACACCACGGCCAAGGTGCTGCCGTGCCAGCACACCTTCTGCCGCCGCTGCCTGGAAAACATTCTGAGCTCCAGGAACGAGCTCCGCTGCCCGGAGTGCCGCATCCTGGTGGACTGCAGGGTGGACGACCTGCCGGCGAACATCCTCCTAGTTCGCCTGCTGGACGGTATTAAGCAGCGGCCGCAGCAGCGAGGCAACGGAGGAGTAGGAGCGAGGCTGTCCCTGGCCGGGGGCTCGCTGCAGGGGTACGCAGTCGGGATATGCGCTTCTCCCCCGGGCAGTGCGATCAGAGAGCTGCCTGTAGCCGTCAGGAGCTCCGCTGTTAAGGTAGGTTACTTTCCCACCATCCATATGTGCAAGTGTCTCTCAATGAAGAGCAACAAGTTTAATGTTTACGTGTTTTACCGTTACATGAATCGTTGTTTATTCACAAAAACACAGTAGGCTATAAGTCAGTGGTACTTTTTTCAATTCAGCATGCAAAAAACCCAATAACAACTTCAGGATTTGTTCCCTGCTGCCCAGTATAGCACCAGGCGTTGTTGGAAGAAGATTTTGAGGGCACTAGTTCAGACCAATTCCCTATTGTTTATCTCTGCTGTTTGCAGGGGAACAGGGTGTACAGCATGCTGCCTGTACAGATACACTGCTGTTGTATAGATAGATGTGAATCTTGAGTCTATGCAGAATATTCATGCATTGAGTCTGATTTCCGTATAGATTGTTTCATAACTGTGATGAGGAACACACTTGGTGGCTGATACCAAGTTATGGAACAGGGAGAAAGAATGAAGAAAACAGCAGTGCACTGCACAAACATCTATTGACTGATGTACTGCTCTCTATTGATTGTTTGGCTGAGTTATCACCTGTAATATTCCCTGATGTGGCACTACTTTGTCTTAATGAGGGTGTCTGTCCTGTGATGTAACTGAGGTATAAATAAGCTGAACTAAGTGGACAAAGGAGGGACACCTGTCTCTGTTGCCATAGTCCTGGTGAAGAACACTTGCCTATAGGCTGCAGCAGTGAGAGGTTTCATAACCCAAGCTCAGTGAAGAGGAATGGAGAGCCTTGTTTGCTTGCGATGCAGTTCATCCTATGCGTTGTCTGGTGGCTGTGATGTGAGGCGTGTTGAAGAATGTGGCTGTAATGTGGCAATTAGACAGAAAATGTGATGGCATCAGCAGCACTGTTCTGCAAGATATGTTGCTTGTCATCTCTCCTCCAATTGGTTTCCAAGATCTTACCCACAAATCTTGAAAAACGGCAAGCAGCCGTGGTGAGATAGAAAACCCCAGTTTTATTGCACTTTCATTTCCTAGAAGCTTCAACATAATGAGGTGCAAATCTAGAGCTGCACTTAACAACTTTTCACATTTCTTAAAAATGTGTTATGAGAAACTGTTCAAAGGTTTTATTTGAGGGCAGATCATATTTTTTCTTTCTATGTCATTCCAACTAAGTGTTGCATAATTCACACCAACTGGTGCATATACAGATGTAGCGCTGCAACTAACATTTATTTCCATTATTAATCATTTGCATATTATATTTCTAGATTATCCTTTGGTCCAAAACAGGATTTAGATAGTGAAAGATGTCCCAGGTGATGTCTTTAAATGTCTTGGATTGTCAATGTGAAACCTAAGATACTGTATATTCAGTTCATTATGATATAAAACAAAGGAATATACGCAATCAACATGTTGTAGAGTCGGGAAAAGCGTGTTTTTTAATTATCAACATACACAAGGAGGCAATCATTTTTCTTTTAATCACTTTGATTAGTTGATTAAGAATTGCAGCTCGATCACAATATCAGTGAAAATAAAGGCATATTTTATGAAATGACAAAATATCGTATTTAAATAACATCTTCCATTAGCAATCTATATTGACAGCTGTTTATCATGATTAACAGCTATGGTCATTTGAAAAAATACATGCATTTGCAGATAACAAGAAGCAAAAGGCATGACCTCACCTCACTCCCAGCTTTTACTCGTTTGCCTTTGAAAAAATACAAGTTTTCTATAGTCAAAACTTCATGTTGTGACTTGTAAAGACAGATTCACTGTATTTGTCTAAGGTGAGCTTTTGTTGTGTGATTACTCCTAAACGCAAAGGGATTTCTCAGAGTTGGAGTGCATGAGGGTCGTGGGCAGGTGTGTTCATGTTTCCCATCCAGCAGCTTTTTCTCTGAGTTTAGTGATGTTTCCAATAAGAGGGATGCACTGAACCACCGGGGTAACAAAGGCGTTGCAATCAGCCTGCACACACCCCTCCTCAGTACAACAGAAACTATCAGGCAGACTGGCCATTGATTGAAGCAGCGGAGCGCAATGGTGTGATGAAGTGCAGCAGCAGTGAGCAGTCACTCATTAATGGCGATGAACAGGAATCCAAACCCTCAGTGACATTTCCTCTAATACTTAACACTCCATTTCAATTCACTCAATAAACTTTACCGGTCCCCATAGTGCGACCGTGATGCCTAGTGCATGAAGAAAAAAATGAATATACTAAAGAGGAATGCTACAATATAGTTCTCTTTTTGAGAAATGCTCTTTCTAAAGAGGCTAAGAAACATCTTAATTGAAAGACTTGAGCCAGGACATATTGGAGAATGTAATGTTTTATGAAATAAGGGACATTTGGGGGAGTTGTATGGCTGAAAGAGTTGACCTACAGAGAGGGAAATGTAGTAGCATGCACATTCACACACACGCAAAAATATACACATTGCACATCGTCGTCTGTACCGTGGCCAGGCTGTGTTGGTTTTATGACCCGTATAGGGAGAGCATTTTAACTGCGGACACACACAACACAACACACACACACACACACACACACACACACACACACACACACACACACACACACACACACACACACACACACACACACACACACACACACACACACACACACACACACACACACACACACACACACACACACACACACCTACATGTATAACCCATTACCCTCTCCCCTGCAGACACTTTGCCCAAGTCTCCTCTAGCCCCCCTTGGGACCATGGCTTGGTGATGAAAGTGTGAATTAATCTCTTCTAACTTGGTGTGTGTGTGTGGGTGTGTGTGTGTGCCTTTGTAAGTGCAGACCCCTGCACTCAAAGAGCAGGGGTCTCGCAAAGGGAGTTACATCTGACTTTGAGTGACACACTAATGCAGTACCGCCACACACACACACCATCCGTTGTAACTGAATGAGTCACACGGGTCAAACACAAACACTCTCCATCAGGTGTTGAGGGTTGTAGATGAGAATTAATGGGTTGCTATGGAAATAGCAGAACAGCCTGAAGTGCTGAGTCAGCTGTTTGTGTTGTTTGTGCCTGTGTTGCTGACATTGTGCTTCGACCAATAAGAGTTTATCAAGGCTGATCATTTCCTTTTTTTTGCCTAGCTCTGTGTGAAGTTAAAGGAATTCTTAACCCCTTTAATGACCATTTTTTATAAACCTGACTGTGCTACTTCGAATTCTTGAGGAAACAATTATTGTTGCATGCCTCCACAGTGCATGAAGATCCCAAACATGTGGAAAAGCCTTGAGGAATCTAATTGAATTGAGGCCTGTTTGATAACAGAAAAAAACATTCAAAACACAAGACTTAGAAGGATAAGACTAAACAGGTTGTGATGTAATTTGGCTGAATAATAAATCTCTTGTTTGATTTGGTAGATCTTGTCCTCTTGGTGGTAGCTCTTTTTACCCACAAAGCAGAAATGTTGCTCCTGTTTAGCAGCTGATGAGTCTGGCAGCGCCTCAGCTCGTCCCTCAGCTGCAGTGTTGTTTATCAGCTGTTGCAGAGATGACTCGCCACTTGTTCCCCCGTTCACAGACAGCAGTGCGAAGACACCTAGACTACAGTATGCAAACAGAAGAGGTGTTTCAACAATGTAGCAGTGTCATGTACTCTGAATAATAGCGCTGGAATACATTTTTATGAGACATATCGTGTTTTTTTTCTGAGTTAAGACAAGATGCTCATCAGGAACCAGTATCAGTGTATTCTGTCTATTAGTATATCAAATGGTGTTGCTTAAATTCATAACAAGGCTCTGTAATGACACATTTTGTAATATTATAATACACCCACTTATTGTTTTAATTGCACTACTGCTGATCAATACTCTGTTTTAGATCCAAATCCTCATTCAGATTCATGGCATATGAGCATAAAAATAGAATGTTGAAACTTCATCCGAATGCAAGTCATTTGTCATGATAGAGGAGAGTGGATAAATTACACAGGTAAATGATGTGATCATCCCGGTTTTCTAAGGTCTTTAACATCACAGCAGCAGATACTGCACACTTCCTGTAGCTATGGTGGCTGCTCTTGTAGCTGTTGCCAAGGAGGTCATGCTTTCAGCTTTTCTGTTTGTTGTTTGTTTTTATCTTGTGATCCCAAAAAATGTGTAACATAGTTCAATAGAATTTGGAAATGTTGTCCCATGGACCTTAGAACAAGTTATTAGCTGGGAAAGTACTTCTCAACCCAGCATTTTAAAACGTGTTTCCTTTTTTTCTGATCAAATACTTGTATCTTATTCGACAGAAATCTGCTTTGTGCCCTGTTCGTCTATAATTGCACGTATCCTGCTGAATGAATCGACTCAATCACCAACTATTCTATCATTGACATAACATCTTTGGAGGATTAGGCATCCATTTAGGATGTACATAATCTGTAAGTGCTTTCTAGCATGCTAACTAGAAAAACTCTTCAAAGTCATTGTTCTTCGCTCCGTCGTTTCTTGCCATATCAACGCATTGGACAAATGTAACAGATACGGAGAAAACCCAGTACAATGGTCTAATTTTCCCACAGTACAGAATGAGCCTTTTGCTTTGGTTTAATTTGATAAGTTGTCCGAAAATTGGAAACGTTTTGGAATAGGCGAATTCTTAAGTCTGCACATGAGGCATTACAATGTTATTAAAACTGTACCCAGCAGCTACACTGGTGGAAGACTCTCATTAATTCATGAATTTTGACTGGCCTTTGCTGGTCTGCCTTGGCAGGTATACGTCCTGAAGGAGTGTATTGTTCTTTGAGAATGGAGCCTAATTGATTACATAGTCCCTCTTTTGCACTTAAGGGACTGACCCAGGTTTCTGCTTGGTATGCAAAAAGTCAGTTTTGCTCTGTGCTGAAAGTATTAAACAATGTGTGTTTTGATCATTTTAACGTTCATGCAGAAACAAGAATCCAGATAACTAGCCAGAATGGTGTTATCTTCGGATACTCATCGCTCTGATAAGACTGCAGAGCTCGTTCAATTAAAATGAAA